TTTTGTGATTTTTTTTTTAATTCTGCCCTACCTACATCTGATCCGACGCCTATGTAAGTCCCGTTCAAATCTCGCGTAAGTAACAGCCAATCACAGCCCCCCTTTTATACAGGCTGTCGGTTGCTTACTTTTCAGTGTAGCGATACTCTACGGGCAATCTTTCTGTACATTATATTTTGCCCACTTGAATAAACCATTAATAGAAAATTGCTAGTATATTTTTATTTGCAAAAGAAATTCCACAGCATTTTACAATTTTTGTCATTACATTGAATATTTTTTTCACTTCCAACAAATGTGTACACTTCCAGATACATCTTCGCCAGCCAAGGTTCGTTCATTCAGTCATCGCTTCAATTTTACATCACTGAGCATAATTATCTAGAATGGAAGCAAAAAAATAAGTAAATCGTAATGATTAGAACACTGTAAACAGCTATAGTAAACAATGCAAACTGATTTTAAATTGTATAACGGTCACCGGTCCACGGCATCGACGCAGAAAATTGGAGCAAAAAATATGTGCGATGTGTTCCAATAAAAAATATTTTATTCCAGTCCAAATCAGCTCAATTACTTTAATAAAGAGTTATTGTATAATGTACAAAATGTTGATACAATTTGTTGAATATTTACAGCTACGGTTTCAATACCGTAGACGATGTTGGCCCGATCTTCAACAAAACATCACCCGTCTCCAGGGCAGGCGACTGGAAAAAGACACTGGTGTTCGGTTGAAACGGTGGAAACAAAATCGTCACTCCCAGAATAACTATGCAAAATAACGATCTAAAGTCGAACCATTCGAGCCACAATATTAACATAAAAATGACTTTCGTTGCATTTGACAATGATAAACTTACCGAAAAGCCGTGTTATTCTCGGTCGCTAACGTCGGTATAATCCGCCATTTTATGTGAGTGTGTTTGCCACCCGACTCCGCCCGGTGACGTCATCATGTGCGCTATAGAAAGAGGTCTGTGATTCGTTGACTAAAATCGTCGATAGTGGGTCTCGTTGAAATCTCGTTACTAGGCATCGGGTCAGATGTAGGTAGGGCGGAATTAAAAAAATCACAAAATCAAAATCAAAGTAAAATAATAAATAAAATGGCATTAATAACAAAAGTAATAAAAAATAAAATTAAAATAAGTTTATAGCCAAAATAATTAAAGCCCGTACACTACATCAGATTTTAATCAGATTGACTCAAAACATCAACATTACTTATGCAGAGATTAATGTCATCTAATACCACCACTTATTTCATATTCCTTAAAAATGAAATGATACAATACTACCGGCATTCACCTTATTCACTTGTGATAAACCAAGGCCAAGCATTCAGAATATTTTATAACTATTATCTTAACTTCAGATTGCGGGTGGGCGCAAATAATAACTATGTTTCAGTCATCTCAACCGTGCCTAATTACACCACTAAACCTCCACAATTACATAACAAATAGTCTGGATTGTGGCACAGTACGATAACACGACTACAATTATTCGGAATTCTCGGTCTCAAGTTGTAAGAGAAGCTCTGGATATCGTCACACAAATTCAACTTTGTTTGCATGCAAGTATATCGGTATAGTATCTACATAAACTACTAACAGCTCAGTTCCTGGAAATATTTGGTTTTCACAAGGAAAGGAATTAGCCATACCTTTTCATGCTAAGGTGATGAATAATTATGATTTCAACAACCCTTTTATGGAAATGTGATCACTCCCTAGCTTATTGATAAAAGTGTTCACGCTCCCAAATGAACATAACTTTAACCATTGCCTAGCACGAAAAATGACCACTCTCAAAGTTCACAAAACATCAAAGAATGTAAATACACATAAATGTGTTACAATCAAATACTAGATTATTAAATCGACAATATTTTCAAATGTACTTGATTTTAGTATGGCTGACGACAAGAAAGCATGCGCACTGGTTAATTATAATCAGTTAATTATATGCACGCCTACAACAATTTATACAATGGATTGCATTTCGTTTCCAGATCGGGATAGCGAGACTGAATAATTGAATTTCGGTTACATCCATTCGGTTGTACATGCACTGCGATGACACCAAGTTAGCCAATGCGATGTACGATTTGTCTTAGTAGGTAGATTATGATGGTGTCCAATCTGACTAAAGTTTGATGTTGACGGCGCGTGTAAAAAAATACATTGTTTACATAAAACTCCAGAACGCGCTGTGCGAGGACAATCGCTATTCAATTCCCGATCATCGGTTCATGGCTGCTCGTGTACATGCCCTTACATATTACCAGCAACTCTGACGGGATTTGCCTTATTAAAAAACTGCCGTACTAGTAAGCAGGCTGTGTCACAGGCTATGAAAGGCTGCTGATCATGCGAGCTTAACGCAGTTTGCATCGGCATATAGACGGATGAAGATAGAGACATGTACATCGAAGACTAACGACTATACATTACAAGCGATTCAGTCTTTACTTTAATTACCCCAGTTCGGTTGGTGTAAATTATATAAATGTGAGTAAAATAGGAGTATTTAAAATATCGATATCGATAGTGTTTTTTTAGACCTATAGCCAATAGGATATTACGTCTATTTTGGTCAAATTTATCAAAATAGAAATAAGCATAAATTTTGGCGGGTAAAAGTATGGCACCAAGGGGTTGAATTAGACAAATGTAGATCGGCACGCTTTAGCAATTGTAACTTCTTGAGAAATATTGTGAATAGATAAGCTTAGAAAAAGACAAAACACAGAAAACTGCGAACAAATAT